GGTTCATGATGAGCGAGTTAATTTCGAGTTAACATAGGTACAATTCACTTATTAGGGAGCTAGCTAGCTCAGTAAAATTCACTGATCACATGCCGATTTTTCCAACCTGTGACGTTAGGTAATGTCCAATGTGAATTCACTGAAGTTGAATGATTTGTAATGTTCAAAATCTATAAACATTCCTGGTCAATATATCTGAAGTTCCCGATTAGTAAGTGTTAATCACAGTTATAGCTTATGAAGTTTATAGCACACCAATTACAGAAACCCAATAATAGATACTCTTTTTTTTTGGTGCAGCGTATTTGTTATGTTTATAGGTGTGTGGAGAGTTTCCAGAAAATTCAGATTACGTAACAATACAAAGCTACATTAAGTGTTTATGTAGATACATATATTGTTGATTCTTACACTCGAGAATCTTCTACAACTTTAGAGAATAGGTGGGAATTTCACAATACATATTTAATAGTATAAGTTAAATATATGTACACATGTAAATATAAATTTAATTCAAGCAAACATCGATACTAAAATGAATATATAATAATAAATTTGTCACAACTGTTAGCATCTGAAGTAGAAACCTACTGAATATAAAGCAGTTTAGGTGTTACCATACTTCGAGTACTTTGACGCCATCAATATCAAATAAACCTTTGTAGCACAATTCTCAGAACTTTCCCTCCTTTGAGGTAGGATTTATCAACTTGTTGACAGTATAATGATTACAATGATAATTGTCTAATGTATTATAAAATACTTATGCTGTGGCTTTGTAGAAAGTCTGGGCCGATCTAATAAAGTTGGTAGGTATTTGAATGTTGTTCGACAAGTGGACATTTCCTACAGAGTCTGTTCAACTCCCAGCTCTAAAAACACAGTGGGGTAGGATCTATTGGCTTGTTTACACAGTAAAGTAGTTACAACAAGAATTGTTTAAAGTATTATATAAAAGTGAGAGAACATATTTGTGATATGGCTCTGTACAAAGTTGTATCTGATCTAATAAACTTGGGTGGTCAGAATTTAGTGGTAATTTAGGCATGAAAGTGCTTATAAACATCCCGTTTCCTATTTTACCATGCTTACATACTAACCAATAATTGCATAGTTTCCAATATTTTGTTGGGTAGAGTGAGGTTTCG